TCATACCTGAATGGTCTAGTGGTTTTCCCTACTTTCTTCAATTTAAGTCTGAATTTGGCAATAAGGAGTTCATGATCTGAGCCACAGTCAGCTCCTGGTCTTGTTTTTGCTGACTTTATAGAACTTCTCCATCTTTCCTTCTCTATCATTACTTTGCCAACAAAGGTCCGTCTAGTCAAGGCTATGGTTTTTCCAGTAGTCACATATTTGGATGTGAGAGTTGGACCATAAACAAATCTGAGCACCAAAGAATTGATGCTTTTGAACTGTGATGTTGGAGAAGACTCTTGAGAGTCCCTTGAACTGCAAGGAGATCCAACTGGTCCATCCTAAAGGAGATCAGTGCTCTGTGTTCATTGGAAGGGCTGATGTTGAGGCTGAAACTCCAATACTTTGGCCACCTGATGTGAAGAGCTGATTAGAAAAGACCCTGATGCTGGGAAAGATTGAAGGCGGGAGGTAAAGGGGACAACAGAGGATAGATGGCATCAATGGAGGTGAATTTGAGTAAACTCTGGGAGTTGGTGATGGATAGGGAGGCCTGGCGTGCTGCAGTCCACGAGAGTCAGACTGAGCTACTGAGCGACTGAACTCACGCACTCACTCCCTCAGTCTTTTTCTCTTCTCAGTAGTTATCTTGTTCTCTTTACCTTAGCTGCTCATTCCCTTTTCCACCTGCAAAAAAAAAGCCGGAAATCACTCCACAGTCTGAGATGCAACAAACTCTTCCCCCACCTGCCACCTCTGGTCCTCCCAGCTCACTTCTCCAAACATACCCATGTGAACTATCACCCTACAACTGCATTGTCTTTCGATCCATGGATCCTACTGCTCCTTCACGGCCCCCCCACTCCTGCAAGCCTTAACCTAATGTAAGCCCAAGCTCAGTCACACATATTCTCAACCTGTGCCCCCTTTGCACGTCCTCCACTGCCTTTGGCCAAACCACAGTCCTGGCTAAATGCCCCTCTCCACCGCGTCATGCCTGCCATTGTGCAGCTCAACATGACCTGAGGAAAACACACTATGTGCCAATTGCTCTCACTCTCGGTTGCTGACTGGGTTTTCAATGCCAGCAGTCCAAAGCTTACTTCCACCAGTTTCAAGCACCTGGGGATATGTCTCCTGCCCCCTCGGACCTGGGTGAGTGGTCAGTGGTCACATTATGATAACCCTTCCCCACTCTTGCAGTTGGGGCTTTTGGGCCTGCTGTTTTCTCTCCTTGGAGTGTTCTTTTCCTAGATAGCGGCATACCTTGCTTCTTCCCTCCAACAGGTCTTTACTTAAATGCCACCTCTTAAGTGAGACCTGTCTCCTGCAGTGTCCCCTCCGCCCACCACCGGGTACACACATGCCCACACACACATGACACTTCCTCTTCCCCTTCTCCTTGTTAGTTTTCCCCTTTGCCCTCACCACTCTCTAATACGCTGCATGTTTTACCTATTAATGCTTGTTTAATGTTCTCTCTAGAATATAAGCATTTTTGATCTGTCTTGTTCACCACTGTTTCCCCAATGCCTTGGACAGTGCCGCACAGAGAAAATGTGCGGTGAATGATTGTTGAATGAAGCAATGTGGGAATGACGCAGTTATTGAATAAATGAAAAACAAATGCTTGTACTTATTTACCTACCCTGATGTTTTCCTCATTTCTTTATCTCCTCTCTCCCAACCTAGTTACTGGACCGACTACTAGACGGTGGCTTAATAAGCGAACCTTCTTACTTCCAGAATGTTACAGGATGTTCTAATTACTACAACCTTTTACTGTGCACGGTAATGACAACATTTAAAAAACCATAATAGTGTTTGCCTAAAACTTTTGGCAAAACCAAACTTCCTCAGATTTGGGAAATATTATAGTTGACTTTACACTAGAAAAACATGTCCAAACTATATTGCATTATTTGGTCTGCTAATCTATAGGATCTTTTACCTTGCCAATGTTGTATACTGTATAATCTGATCATTGAGAATGTGTGGTATTCCGGATAACTCAAAAAGAAAAATATCTGATTAACACAATTTCCCCCCAGTAGAGCTTGTTATACAGAAGTTCTTTTGTAAAGGAGAAAGGTCAGGACTGAAACTTTGGGTATCAGGCCCCAGAGCTCCAGGCTTGTAGTGAGTTTCTTGAAAATGCCCACATTATTTGTTCTGTACTTAAGACAGCTTGGATAACCCAAACTGCCAAAGCCTTTATGAAAATATTTGCTTTGTCTTACTTTTAACTTAAGATTTTTAATGCATTTAGTATGGCCCTCACTTTAAGCCCTTTGGAATATTCTCAAAGTATTCAAGTAGTTTCTTTCATAAAAGTATGCCAAAGTTGATGTCTATTGTGTAGCTTTAATCGAATAAGACAAAGGGAGCCAGAGTGGGGATTTGAAATTGTATAATCCAAGTCTAGGGTATATGACTATGCATTCTGTTTTTAAAATTGCCTTATTTATGAACTATTTCGTATATAATATATAAAGCTAACTTCAATGGAATTTGCCAGTGCTGGGGTTTGGGACTTAGATTTGACCAAGAGAAAAACATTTGGTAGGCAAGAAAGAAGCAAAATTTATAACTCTATTTTTTTCTTCAAAAAGTAATGTATTCACAGTTAGCAAAAAATATTGATGATTCACAAAATTGTTGATTTCAAACTTTAACAGTTTTTTAATTATTTCATAACTTTTTGTAAGAAACAGCATTTAGTCATTTTTTTTCCTTTTAGCTTAATGAATGTTACAGAGACTTATGCAATGTTTTTAAAAAATAAGGCTCATGGACAAGTTTTCTTTTGATTTATGTCCTTCATAAAGTATCATCTATTTTTACACTTGCTATATTTTTCCTCTTAAGTTATGGAATCCCAGGGACAGAGGAGCCTGGTGGGCTGCCGTCTGTGGGGTCGCACAGAGTTGGACATGACTAACGCGACTTAGCAGCAGCAGCAGAGTATTTTGTGTATGTGTTTTTAATAAAGAGCAGAACACAAAAAAGAAATCCTCATCTTTTAATCTACCACATCACCTCCCTGGCTCCTTGTGGTCCATTTCACCTTCTTCCCCAAGAGCCTCCAACAAGGAGCAAATTGTCTTTGATAATCTCACCTCTTCATCTTCCCTATCCATCTTTGTCGTGAAGGAGGTTTTTAATTGGAGTCACAGATGGCCAAATATTAGTTACAAAAAGGAAAATCCAGCATTTGCAAATTGAATATTGGCTCTGAGAGTATCAGATCATCCAGACTTTTTGGATAAAATTTGAAGGAAGTGAAGTCGCTCAGTTGTGTCCGACTGTTTGTGATCCTGTGGACTGTAGCCCACCAGGCTCCTCTGTCCATGGGATTCTCCAGGCAATAATACTGGAGTAGGTTGCCATTTCCTTCTCTAGGGGATCTTTCCGACCCAGGGATCGAACCCAGGTCTCACTCATTGCAGGCAGACGCTTTAACCTCTGAGCTAAATCTCCTCAAAACCCCCAAGTCAAAATGTTCAGGATGAAGACCAGTTAATAGTCATGTCACATCTTGTTCATTGTGTTATGGAAAAGAAGATGTTAGTTACTCAGTTGCTCCATTGTGTTTGACTTTTTGTGACCCCATAGATTGTAGCCCATCAAGTTCCTCTTTCCATGGAATGCTCCAGGCAAGAATACTGGAGTGTATAGCCATTCCCTTTCCCAGGGGATCTTCCTGACTCAGTGATCAAACCTGGCTCTCCTGCATTGCAGGTGGATTCTCTACCACTTGAGCCGCCAGGGAACCTTCATTTTGGCATATGTTAGGAAAAATCTGAAGCGTTCCCCAGCATGGGGTACCCACCCAGTCGTATTTCCTAATGTCTTTTTGATGCCCCTTCTGTCAGGAGCCTGATGACCAAAGTTACTACGGGAAATTTTTGTCCCTCCCCCACGTGAGACAAGCCATCCATGTGGGAAACCAGACTTTTAGTGATGGAGCCAAAGTTGAAAAGTACTTGCGAGAAGATACAGTCAAGTCAGTGAAACCATGGTTAGCTGAAATCATGAATAATTACAAGGTAAGAGGGCTACTTGAGTTGCTATCTATTTTAGGAACTTTTCAGATTACCCAGAGTAGGCGTGACCTTCTTTTACTCGTAATTCAACTCCTACCATATTTTACTCTTCTGATATCTTACAAATGTAAATAACAACCACTGCATTGTTTGATTTCTTTGAATTAAAAGTTCTTTTTTTTCCTTTTAATTAAATCACTTTCCCCTATTAGTTCCTAAAAATGAAATTCTCTTTGGCACATGCCATCTCTCATCATTTCTTGAGAAAAGAGGGATAACAGAGCCGGGAAGATGACTCGCCTTGTGTAAGCTGATTTTCCCCTATTATTTGCTTTATATTGTTAATCCCAATGAAGTCAGGGATAAATTAAATCAACTGGTTATTCTAAAAATGCTTTTTGCTTGATAATTGAATTCATTCAGATCATTCAGCCATAGTTTCTTCAGTGTCTACTTGAAGCCAAATGTTGTGCTAGGCTGTCAGGTTGAAGTGATGAATGAGACAAGGTCCTTGTTTTGAGGCATGTAGAGTCAAGCACTGTAGTATCTGACTGAGATGTTCTGCCTGACTCAATGCTGAAGGTACCAGAGGTTCAAGCAAAGGAGCGATGACCCCTAGAACTCTCACCGTGAGGGAAGGACTCCACGAGCAGGTGACAGAGGGAAAGTTATTGTGCATTTCTTTGCCTTTTCCTTTTCTCACCTCTTCCTCTGATCTTCTAGGACTGTTAGCACTGGTCCTAGGCATGGTTTGGGAACAGCCCGGTAGGGTAAGTGTGCTGATGACAGAGAAGATCACCACCAGAGGTGATCTACTTTTTCTCTTTCCTGGGAGTGGCAAGAGTAATGATTGGGATGAAAAAAAAAAAGAAAAAAAACATGGCAGTAACCAACAAGTGAATTAGACAATGTACTAACTCAATAAAGTACTCAAGTACTTTATTTCTATCTAACTAAAAAATTGTCCTGATATACTGCTTTTATTTGAACCAGACTCTTTCCTGCCATTTTATGACATAAGGAATACACATTTCTGCACTGTCTGTGTTGGGACTGTTCAATGTACAACCCTTAGTACTGTCCAGGGAGTCCTCGGCCTAATACAGCCTTACTAGATTGTATTTCAGAATATGCCCAACCTAAAAGACCTATTTTCTGGTCCTGCCTATAGTACAAAGAGTTTCAGTCCAGTCCCTGGACATACAACTTTTATCCCAAATAACCTAAGGTCAGTGATATGCAGACTCTACAAACCCATTATAAATCTGGAGAACTTGACGAAATACTTTCTAGGCAAGAAAGAGTCTAACTAGATGAGGTCAGACTTTCAACCACTGCTATCTCTGGTTCTGTTGGGGAAATGTAGTGAGTGGTCCTTAGTGCTTGCCTGCTTGGAGCCTTCTCTGAGCAACTTCCCGGTGCTCTGCTGGTTGTCCTCTTCTCTGAACTCTGTGACCATGTGGCCTCTACTGTTGGGGAGCACACTTAGCACCCTGTGCTGCCATTATGGGCTGTCAGTTGTAGCACCAGCCTCAAGCAGACATCACTAATGCATAAATGAATAAATGGATGAAAGAAAAGTCAGTTCTATAAATTAGTGCTATATCAAAAATATATCTATTAAACTTGTTCATAATTCATCATATATTTATTACCTACAAATTTATTAAACCAAAAAGAAACCCACATCAGTTTCTGTATAGACTACGTAACATTTATGTCTTCAAGATGAAAACAATTGGCTATAACATTAAGGAATGCACAATGATTTTCTTGAGTAGAAAGTGAAAAAAGAAGTTCCCATGTATATATTTTGTGCCCTTGGAAGATAGATTTTCTTGCTCTGTAAATTTAACTAGAATATGATTCCTTTCTCAACCAAATGAGGATTGCATGGGACATGTAGTTCACTTGATGATGTAAAACTTTTGATACTGGCTCATCACCATACAGTGTCCACTTGGTTGTTGAAAAAGAATATGCTAATTAAAGATGAGCCTGCGTTTTGATATTTAAACATATCTGTCTCTGTTTCCCATGGATCCTAAGCCTGCCAATAGGAATCCCGATGAAATCAGAATATTTTCTAAACTTTCAAACTCTCAGTTGCAGAAAAAGAGAATAGATTTGTGGTGCAGATAAACCATATTTCCAGAAAGAAAGCAAACAAAGTATGTAGTCAGTCTGAGTGCAGCCCAGAAAGTGGCTGCTGCTAGAACAGACTGCATATTCATGGCTGGAGCTGGCACAGGCCGCAGGGTAGCAATTATCTTTGGCTTGTCTGCTCATGGTGGTGAACCTCAGTGTGTATGCAGTGGAATCAGAACAACCTAGGCTGGCTTAAAACATTAGTACCCTCGAGGATATATTTATGTAAGACTCAGTGCTAATTTGTCATAGAAAATAGTGCACATGTTTCTATTCATAAGAACATGGAAGTCTTTTTTCTAGTACTAGATTCATTTTAGCCAGTGTAGAGTATTCTCTGATGGGCTGAGGAATACCTTCATTGGTTTCTGGAAACTTATAGAACTCTTTGCAGCACATCAGTTTCTGTGTAGACTATGTGAAGACATAACCCTTTTCTTGTGATGACCTACTTGGGATGTGTACTTAAGTCATTCTCTTTTCAGTAATTTTAGATATATGTATGGTAAATTTGAAATATCATATTAGCAGTTTCAAGAAAACTGAGAAATAATCTGTTGGACTATTGGAGTTACTGGTGATTAAATCAGATCATGGTTAAATATAAATCTTATTAGGAGTAACACAACATAATCCACCAGTGAATAAAAAAGATGAGGTTGAGTTGATCTCATAAATGCGAGAACATTTTTGCATTAGAAGTTCCATCATGCAGTGTATCACCTAAAACATTGAAAAAATAAAAAACATTCATCTTAATAGATGCAAAAACTGGATTTGACAAAATCAAAATCCATTTAGGATAAAAGTTTAAATTTTTTTAAATTTATTCATTTATTTATTTGGATGTACCATGTCTTAGTTGCTGCATGTGGGATCTTAGTTCCCTAACCAGGGACTGATGCTGTAGCTGAAACTCTAATACTTTGGCCACCTGATGCGAAGAACTGACTCATCTGAAAAGACCCTGATGCTGGGAAAGATTGAAGGCGGGAGGAGAAGGGGATGACAGAGGATGAGATGGTTGGATGGCATCACTCATCAACGGATGTGAGTTTGAGTAAACTCCAGGAGTTGGGAATGGATGAGGAAGCCTGGTGTGCTGTAGCCCATGGGCTCGCAAAGACTTGGACACGACTGAGCGACCAAACTGACCTGAACTGAACTGAACCAGGGATGGAACTCAGGACCCTTACATTGGGAGCATGAAGTCTTAGCCACTGGCCACTAGGAAAGTCCCAGGATAAAAGTTTATAGTGTACTAGGAATAGTAGTATCTGTATTAGATTCTTATGCTTGTTGTAATGAATTAGTACAATCTTGATGGTGTAAACTACAGAAATTTATTTTCTTACCATCTAGAGGTTAGAAATCTTGAGGAATTCTCACTGGGCTGAAACCAAGGTGTCAGTAGGATGACTCTAATGGGACAATCCATTCTGGTTTCTGGTGGCTGTTGGTGTTCTTTGGCTTGTGGGCATATGATTGCAACATCTCCCTCTGTGCTCACATCGCCTTCTCTTCTGTGATTAAACATCCTATTGCCTTCCTCTTAGAAATACTCATGAGGTTGCATTTAGGGACCTCCTGGATTATCTCCCCATCTTAAGATGCTTAAGTTAATCAAATCTGCGAAATATTATTTTTTAATTAATTAATTAACACTGTATAAGGTGACATTCACCGGTTCCAGTGATTAGGACTAGATATGTTTTCGCAGAGCAGTATTTAACCTACCATACTATGAGACTTTCTTGACCTAATAAAAACCTACATGTGTGAAACAGACAGCTAGTGATAAGTTGCTGTAGAACACAGGAACCTCAGCCTGTGTGACGACTAGGGTGGTGGGATGGAGGACTGGAAGGGAGGCAGCTAGTGATAAGTTGCTATATAACACAGGGACCTCAGCCTGGTGCTGTGTGACGACTAGGGTGGTGGGATGGAGGACTGGAAGGGAGGCTCAAGAGGGAGGGAATGTAGGTAAACTTGTGGCTGATTCACCTGTTGTCCTGCAGAAACCAATACAACACTCCTCCAATTTAAAGAAAAAACCTACTAGTAAGCATTATTCTGGTCTATAAAACTTAATATACATTCTCTTTAAAATCAGGGTTATAGTGATGCAAACAAAAAATGAAAAGGAGGGAAATCCAATTAATAACTGTATAAGAAATAATGGAATAAAAATTACTATTTGACAAATAGTACAGTAATAGTTGTTTCAGGAAAGAATCATCAGTGGATACTAACATCAGTTAGTGAAAGTATGATGAGAATCAGAATATTTACCTGATCTCAAAGTATCCCCTTTCAAAATGTTTATGATGAACGGGAAAATAGTAACTTTATCGTGGAGAAAGCTGGCACATGAATGTATACGTACTGTTGCTCAGTCGTGTCCAGCTCTTTGCAACCCCATGGACTGTAGCCCACCAGGCTCCTCTGTCCATGGGACTTTTCAGGCAAGGATATTGGAGTGGGTTACCATTTCATACTCCAGGTATCTTCTTGACCCAAGGGTTGAACCCAAGTCTTCCGCATTGGTAGGCAGATTCTTTACTACTGAGCCACCTGGGAATTCCTCATAATGGGACAAATCTACGTTATGCGTCTCCTGATGTGTTGTACTGAGGACACAATAATGCTAATGTGTGTTGCCGAAAGCTTATAGCAGGAGAGTTCCCTGGTGGTCCAGTGGTTAAGAATCCACCTGTCAATGCAGGAGACACGGGTTTGATTCCCGGTCAGGGAAGATTCCACATGCCATGGAGAAACTAAGCCTGTGTACCACAACTACTGAGGCTGCGTGATAAACCCTGGTGGCCACAACTACTAAGCTCACCTGCCACAGA